TGTTTGCGTACAGAACAGCCACAGGCTCAGCACCCTCCTACTTCCTCCTCACTCTTATGAATCTACATCCCCTCCAGAAGCCTGAGATCTGTAAGTAAGCGATACCTCGTGGTAACATCACAGAGAGGTATTTTCGTTCACTTTCCTGGCTGGTGAAATGATCTTCCCACAATCGCAGTAATTAACAGAACACCCGACACGTTATCTTACAGCAACACTAATTTAATCCTATACCCGACCCCTCTGTCAAGCTCCTGAAGTTTGCAGACGACACCACACTCATCGGCCTCATTTTTGGTCGTTGGATGCGCCGGCGAGTGTGTGGGCGGCGGCTCTGCAGTGCTCTGAGGCGGGGCGAGCGGCACCGCATTGACTGAGTGAGGAGGAAATAGCTCTTTTTGTGAGAATGTATGCATTTTTATTGAATGAACATCCAACACACAAACATTTGAAAACATGAACTTGTGGCGCTTGGGAGACGGGCCGCTCACGCACTCTCCTCCTCTCTTCAGACCGTCAGGACGACGGCTTAGCCGCCGGCGGCGGGCGAGAGTCACGTCGCGGGCTCCTCCGCTGGCCGTGGAGTTTCCTCCCAGGACCCCACGCCTTCCTCCGGAAATCCGGCTCCTGGCGAGGAGCAGTAACGTTAGCCGTCACCGCTGTGGTCGCTGGCCTGGGGTTATCCCTCCGCTGGGAAGAGCCAGGTGCCGACGAGGATCTGGATCTCGCCGTCTGCTGCTGGAAAGCGCGCCTCGGCATCACGTGACTCATGGCTTTGGCGCACTTTTGAGCCTCCGCGAAGCGCTCAGTAATGGACTCCACGACGTTACCAAAAAGGCCGGAGGGAGTCACAGGAGATAAATCTATATTATAATTTTGAAATAAAAAAATAATATCCCAGCGGAGGGATAACCCCAGGCCAGCGACCGCAGCGATGACGGCTAACGACTCTGGCTTCCCCCTTGTGGACAACATAATAGACAACTCTGGCCACAGAGAGTGATTGTAAATTACGTTTACATGAAATATATTTGAATTTTCATTCTGCATCTTCTGAGATTTCATTGTAATCCTTCTCATAAAGTCACTGAATTAACCATTAACTGTTCACCTGATTGCGTTGCCATCTGTGTGGGATGTTAGAGCGTTGTTGAGAGAGAACAAGAATGTATTGGAAACACACTACCACCTACCTGACTCTGCCTGAGAGGTAAGGAAAAATACGCTTACCTGAGATGATTTTTTTTTATGTCTCTGAAATATATGATAGTATTATTGAAAACAATATTTTAATGTATTATTGAATAAAATATTAGTTGATTATCAAAGAAAGAAAAAATGTATATCCATAATATGGACTTTTGTAAATGCTGTGATGCTCAGATACTGTGATTTCCTTCTCACATTGCTGATTTCACCATTAACTCTTCACCTAAACAGTTTATGTTTTGTATATGGTATCACTGTAATCCTTGACCATCAAAACATAGGGATAGACATCACCTTTTCTGTGTTATCATGTTTGGTTCATGTATTTTCATGACACAAAATACATAATTTGGTAATGGCGGAAAGTAAAATGGTCGCCATGGCAACCCCACGTTGTTTTTGCGATGGCTCCATTTCTGAAAATGTTTAGGGCCGCAAACTATACAAGTGTACCAAATTTCATTCTTTTATGAAAAAGTGAACATTTTCACATATCACCTGGACTAAAATAAAGTAAATTATTCATTGCTCCACCTCATGTCCTTACACACATGACCTTTATTATTTCAAATACAGTTGAAACATCAAAATGCAACATCAAAATGTCATTTTTTTGCAAATGACATTTTGTAAATGATGAAATACTTATCCAAACAATTTTATACTTTTGGGGTGAACTGTTGTCACGATCTGTGTCGGAGAGGAACGATGGAGATGTGGAATAAACTAAACAGTCTTTAATATAATCCAAACACAGGGTACATCCAACACTGGGAACGGCAGGAAACACACAAACATAAGTAGACCTGACAAACACAGAACGCAAAGGCATAGACTTATGCTGCGTTCAAGTGCTCCTGGGATGTTCGTACTTACGAGTTGACAAGTCGTAATTACAACGCCAGGTGTGTTCAAGTCAGTTTAGTCGGCACAAGATGGCAGTGTACCTTCTTTTAATAAATTACAAGAAAATACAACAGGGTCTGTTAACTCCGCTTATAGAAAATTAAGAGCAAAGAATTCGCATCAGGTGTGTTTTGCGTTTTTAATATTTTTAAAACATGCAACCTTGAACGCACCATTAAATACAGGGGATGATTGGGGAAACACAGGTGCATGGGATCATAATCAAACTAATTAGACTGAATGAGGACAGGAACATGACCAAATAAGGGAAAACAGGAACAGAAACGGGGCAAAATAGGTCCATGATCCTGACAACTGTCACTTAAAATTGATAATTCTGGCATGTAAATGACAATGTCTTTCCAAATATGTATGAATATTTTTTTCCTGATGCATGAAAGTAAATACATTGACATATACAGCAGTTCAAACGTTTGGGGCCAGTAAGATTTTTATTTTTATTTTATTTTATTTTATTTTTCATTTTATTTTATTTTTGCATGAACAAATTAATACTTTTATTCAGTAAATAATAATGTGATTACTAGATGACAGTAAAGACATTTATAATGTTACAACATAATAACGAATGCTGTTCTTTTGAACTTTCTGTTAATCATAGAATCCTGGGGGGGGGG